CCGGCGCCGGCAGCGCGTACGGCGGCCCCGCGCAGCCCTCCGCCGCGGCGCAGGCGTCCGCACAGCAGGTGAGACGGGGCCGATCGCCGCGAGTCCCGGGCGGGCAGCGCTTGGGACGCCGCGCTCGGCTGCCGCACGTTCCGGGATTGCGGCCGGGAACAGGAGTGGGGACCTGGTCCGAGGGTCCTGCCCATTCTCCGCTGTCCAGGGCTCAGTTTCCTTCCCCCCACGGTCCAGGGGAACGCGCGCAGCGGGTGGAACAAAAATCAGCGAACGCCCCCTCTCTCGCCGGCCCCCTTCTCCCTTGCTGTCGGTCTGTCCGTCCGTCTCTGTTACCTTCTTTCTTTCCTCCTGTCCACCGCTAATTTCTGCGTCTCACCTGCCTCGGAAGGGATCCCGGACGCCTGGGTCAGTCCTAGCCCCGACAGAATCGGAGGGTCTCTCGGTCTGGGGCCGACTTCCTGGGATCCGGAGTCTGGGCTCCACAGGAGGGGGGCGGGATCCCTTGGAAGACCATCCCGGACAGAGCGGGAAGCTTCGGCACTGTCCGTCTGTGACCGTCTGTGTGTCTGTCCGTTGTCTGTCCTCTGCACCGTCGAGTCCCTATCCCTTTGTCGGCGCAGTGGAGCCTGGTGGGCCTGGGCAGCGCAACCTGTTGGGTTCCCGGAGGATGGGTCTCGACCCCTTGGCCGGGAGGGACAAATAGAGAGCGCGCGTGGGGTCATGCAGCGGGCAACCCCCGCGCCTCCGACTCTCCGCACCGAACGGCGCCCACTGCCGGCTGGGGGGACCTGGCGGGCTGCAGGTGCTCATTTCCTGTCGAGGGGCTGCGAGCACGTGTCGCCAGGGGAGGGAAGGAGCGGCGTCCGTTCCGCCGAGTCACGGCGGCCGAGTCACATCGGCTGAGTCACCAGGGGCGCCCCTCCCTTCCTGGCCCCGAGCGGCCCGGGCACGGACAACCTCGGGAGTGGGAGATACCGCCGGCGGCGCCTCGGGCCCGGAACTGGGGTCACCGGGCTGCTGGGCCCTCAGCTCTGGGCCGGGGCCACCGCTGTCCGGACTTGCCTGGGCTTGCTGGGCGCTTCCCGGACGACTGAGCGCCCACACCCAAGGCCCAGCCGCAGGGCTCGAACTCAGTTCTCGTCCGAGAACGCTAAGTCCCCATCGCAACCAACTCCGATTTCTGGCTGAAAGAGCATGTCCACAGGTAACGCCTGGAGCGCCTTCAGGATGCAAGGCATTCTGTGGGGCGCCTTCCCCCTCATTCACCCTATTTCATGGAATCTAAGATCGCACTGATTTAAAAACCCGCTGTATTTTGTGCCACTAAATTTTTTTAAAATTAGTAATTAACTCTGATTTCAGAGGTATTAAAGGGTGCCTCTTAGCATCAATGAAATGCTGGAATCCTCACACATGATAATATTAAAAGGCTGGCCGGTTAGCTCACTTGGTTACAGCATCGTACTAATAACACCAAGGTCAAGGGTTGGAATCCCCTTACTGGCCATTCACCAAAAAAAACAAAAAGAGAGAGAGAGAGAGGGAAAATAAAGTTATTGAGGTTTACTAACTTGCCCAGAGTCACACAGCCAGTAAGTGGCTGAACTGAGATTAGAACTGGGACAGCCTGAACACAGAACAGTGGCTCTTGCCTGCCACAGCATTGGGTACCTGCCATTTACCAGACTCAGTTACACACATTCTCTCACCTGATTCGCACAGCCACCCTGGGAGCTGGGAGCTGTGATTATCTTCTTTGTGCAGATGGGCGCAGGAGTGGGTAAGAGCCCAGCCGCCTGAGCTCAAATCCTGTTTCCTACTTACTAGCTGTGTGTCTGTGGACAACTGTTCTCCTGTCTGAAAATGAAGATACCATCGTGCCAATTATATGAGTCAGTATTTGTAAAGTGGTTAGAACAGTGGCTGGCGCTTCACACTTTAAGTATTAGCTCTGATGGGGAAATTGGCACAGAGGTTATGTGACCTGCCCAGAGTCACACAGGTCATGAGCGGGGATTTGCCACCAAATCAGCCTCTCTGTCTGCCAAGCTGTGTTCTTTCTGGTCTCCTAGAGCGAGCATCTGCATTGAGGGTACACAGCAGTGTGGCCTCTGTCCACGGAAGTCCCTCAATCCACACAGAGCTCATCCTGACCCTCCATTTCTCATCCCTCAGAAGTTCCACCTCGTGCCAAGCATCCACGCTGTGAGTGGCAGCCAGGAGCTGCAGTGGACGGTGCAGCCCCATTTCCTGGGGCCTGGCAGCTACCCCAGGCCTCTGGCCTACCCCCAGTACAGCCCCCCACAGCCCCGGCCGGGAGTCATCCGGGCCTTGGGTCCACCTCCAGGGGTGCGTCGCAGGCCCTGTGAACAGGTAAGGAGCAGAGGTGTTGCACTGGTTCTGACTTCCCACAGGGATGCTAGGGTGCAGAAGATAAGCTCTTCCTGAAGAGCACGGGCTTAGAACAGAGGGCCACTGATGACTATTGCCCAAGGGAGAAAGTGGCAGGAGCCCCTGGGGGCAAAAAGGTCACTTCTGGATCCGGGAAAGCTTCCTGGAGAAGGTGGCATATTAGTCAAGAAGAATGGGTAGGATTTCCATGGGTAGAGATCAAGGACGGTCCAGAAGAGAAAATGGCAGGAGCAAGAATGGAGGTAGAAGTGGAGGTGATACCATGTAAGGTGTGCATGTGAAAAGGTGAGAGGGTCTCCACCTGTTGACATGTATGGAGATGGTGGACTTACAGTGTTTGTGTAGCTGGGAAGAGAACAGGGACAAGAGTTCCCTTCAGCTACTCTCTGGGTCTCAGTTTCCCTATCTCATTTAATCCTCACAAAAACCCTCTGAGGAATGTACTCTGGTTTTCCTCATCTTCCAGCTGATGAAATGAAGGCACAGAGGGGTAGTCACTTGCCCAAGATCACGCAAGTAGTGAGTAATGACACAAGACTGGCCTTGGCCCCAGGTCTATCCAATGCTAAAGTCAAATCCTAACCACAAAGCAACACTGTCTCATTGGGAGGTAACAGAAGGCTTGAGGCAGAGGGAGCTGAGAACTCTTGCCTCCCCAAAGTCCTTACCAAAATAAATGAATATGAAGGGTGCCCATCTTTTCCCAGGGGCTCATGGGAGTTGTAGTCCGGCCTTGCTGGGGACTCCCGACCCCATCACTACTGCTAACCTCCGGGGGAGGCTATGGGGGTGTCCGGGCCTCATCTTCCTGACTCCTGTCCTGACCCTCTCCAGGAGACCGACAAATTGGAGGATGAGAAATCCGGGCTGCAGCGAGAGATTGAAGAGTTACAGAAACAGAAGGAGCGCCTGGAGCTGGTGCTGGAAGCCCACCGACCCATCTGCAAAATCCCGGAAGGAGCCAGGGAGAGGGATGAAGGCGCTACCAGCAGCACCAGCAGCCCACCAGCCCCCTGCTGCCCTGTACCTTGTATCTCCCTGTCCCCGGGGCCTGTGCTTGAACCCGAGGCATTGCACACCCCCACACTCATGACCACACCCTCCCTCACTCCTTTCACCCCCAGTCTGGTCTTCACCTACCCCAGCACCCCTGAGCCCTGCGCTTCAGCTCATCGCAAGAGTAGCAGCAGCAGTGGAGACCCATCCTCTGACCCCCTCGGCTCCCCGACCCTCCTCGCTTTGTGAGACACTCCAGCACCATTCCCTGCAAGTGCCACTCTAGCCAACATCTCGTCCTCTTCCCCCACTGGCCCAGCTGGCTTGGGCCATATCCCATGCCCAACCCCAGCACATTCTTCTCCATTCCTCCAGATGAGACTGGACATATTTTGCTTTGCGGTAGAGCCAACTTGGGGCCACCAAAGCTGCCCACTGTTTCTCTAGAGCTGGCCTCTCTAGCACAATTTGCACTAAATCCGAGACAAAATATTTCCCATTTGTGCCTGAGGATCCTGGCAGCCCAGAGACTTTGTAGATCCCTGAAGGTCCTCTGGAGCCCTCACACCTTCTAGACCACCCTTACACTCTCCATCACCCCCTTCTTGTGATCCACCCAACCCTACTGCCTGACAGAAGGTGCCATTGATTGTACCAGCTTAGAACACTAATTCACCCAGCCCCACTGCCAGCAGCACCAGGTGATCGGACTAGGCATTCTGCAGGCCTCTCCTGAACAGCACAGCTTAGGAGGTACCAGCGGCTTGTGATAAGCTGTCCTGCAAACCCCAGCTGTGAGAAGCCTTCAGCTCCAGAGAATCCACGTCGCCACAGCAAGGGCAGCTGCTATTTATTTTCCTAAAGAGAGTATTTTTATACAACCTGCCAAAGTGGAATAAAAGGCTTGAAGCTCTGGCCGGGGTGTTCCATTGGCCTCAGGCTAAAGGGAGACCATTTGGAGCCAGAAGCCCTAGGTTCCGGTCTCAGCTCCACAGACTCACTGCATGACCTTGGACAAATTCTTTGGTATTTTTGGACCTCGGCTGTCCTATGTGACAAATTGGGCTACATCTGCTCTGCCTCATCTCCAGGATTGTGAGGAGACTGCACTCGGGTACAAGCGAAGAGGATTATCCTTCTCGTGGGAGCCCACAGTGCTCCTGCGTGTGCCACAGGGGGGCGCTGTTATGCCCTCTTTCAGCCTCAGAAGAGGAGGCCTAGTGGGTTCTAGGCCCCCAACACCTGCTTCCTGCCCCATTGTCTTGGACAGGAAGGAGCCGGGAAGGGAGCTGGAACCACTACAGGGGCCGGATTACGACCTCTCCCGGAGCCCAAAGGGGGGTTGGGGGGCTGGGGGAGTCCGTGGTTTACCACGGTGCCGCATCCCACCCCAGGCTCGAGGTAATGGGGGAGTCAGTCACCTTAATTCTCCAGTCCCTCCGCATGGGAATAGTATCCGGTCTCAGCGTCCCCGCCCTCGCCCCAACCCCGGCGAGTCCCAAAAGACGCTGCCCAGACCGCGGGCTCCGCTTCGGTCCCGGTTTATTAGCTCCCACCCAACCCCCAGCCAGTCCCTCCGCTCCAGCCTCCAGTTCCCCTGCTTCCCCGCCAGCGAGAACGAGGGGCCCTTCTCGATGCCAGGGTTTCTTAGCCAATGCCAGCGGCCCCTCATGCGCAGCCACGGTGGCATCCAGGTCCCAAGGTCCGCAGCAGTCCTGGCGATCGATAAGCAATCCGGGCGGGCGTCGGCGTGGAGGAAGCAGCACCCTCAGTCATCGGGGGAGCAGGCCAGGGGCAACTGATCGGGACTGCCCACGCTGCCGGTGCTGGAGCTTCCATCACCTAGATCGCGGGGCCCGCAGGGGGGCAGGGCGAGCTCGGGTGTTGGCCCTGCGCCTGGGCCCCCCGCACCGCCGGAGCCGCCACGGGGACCCCACTCCTCGCCCAGCGCCAGGCAGAGCTCCTTTAGAGCCAGGTTCTCCCGCAGCAGCTCCTCCTGGCGGCCCTCCAGCTCGGCCAGCTTCTGCCAACAGCCGCCCAGGTCCTCGCGCACGGCCCGGGATGCTTGGGTCCCGAACAGCTGCCACTGGCGCGCTGCGCGCCGCCCGCGCTGGCGCTCCGAGTCCAGGAAGCAGCAGAGGTCGCGCAGCTCGCGGTTCTCGGCCTGCAGGCGCCGGTTGAGCTGCTTGAGCTCGCGTATCTCGCCCAGGTGACCCTGCAGCTGCCGATTCACCTCCTGCATGAGGCGGCCGCGCTGCACCAGT